GTACCGTCTCAGGTCGACGTCGTGGACGTGGCCGTCGGAGGGGATCCCTATTCGCCGCCTCCGCCGGGTCATCAGCAGTACCACCATCATCACCACCACCATCACCACCATCATCAGATGGGAGTCGTACATCCGGGACTGGCGGTACAGCAAACGCACCTGCAGGCGTCCACCTATCAGGACTGGTCTCCATGGGCACAGGACACCTGCGATTGAACAACCTTAACCCTCGTTGAACCTCGAGGCCGTCTCCCGGTTGAACGAATCCTCTCCTGGCTCGGGCGCCGCCGCCGTTCACTTCAACGTTCTTCCCTTCCATCTCCAACGTGGAAGAATAAAGAGTGTTCTTGACGATCTTTCATCACTGGAAAAAATTGGAATCGTGAACTTCTCCTTCGGTTGGTCGATTCGCGAAACTGTTTTCTCTCGTGAGGTTAGAAAGAAACTTTTGTGACTTGCCTTGTGGACAACGCGACAACCTTGCGCAAGAGGAGACGAAGGGCCGAGCCTGGAAATAACCGGTGAACGAGATTCTCGTTCCGATTGTGACCGAAGAACTCCGTTAAAGAGAGAAGAAAATACGTTTCTTGTTCGTCTTTCGACGTGTCGTGTCCCCGACCGATCGAACGCGTCTTCGATTCGGTGTTTCGCCGCGCGCCATGGCCGCTGCGCGCGCATCCGCGCGATTCGATCCCCTCGAGGACGATCGAGACTATCGATAACCGTGTTCTCGAATCGTGCGCACGGCCACCGCGTGGAGCCGCTGTACGCATCTTTCTCAACTGGTCTCCCTTCCCTAATCGATAATCTTTGCTCAATCACGGAAAATCGAGGGTAATTGAAAAGCGTGTTTGAATGCGTTTTGGGCCGCGTGCATCGTCGCTGACAACAACGACGACGATGACAACGAGATGTCAGCTTTTCTTCAGTCTCGTTCAATGTTTTTCGGTGCTCGTCCGTGTTTAATCGAATCCGCAATCCTATTAATCGCACGTCAGGTAACCAGCAATCACTTTCGCGCTCGTGTTTCACCGCCTTTCCTCTGGTAAACGCGACTGCATCTGCCCCTCGTCACAGTGGTTTATTCAACACTGGCGCTTTGTAATGGTTTCGTACGGTTGAGATTTTGTAAGCGTGAAATGTTTCGCGGTTTAACGACAAGAAATTTTGAAACAAATTTTGCCGTATTATTATTTTTTTTTTTTTTTTTTTTTTTTTTAGTTCTTCATTGCGAAGATTATGTAAACATTCGATTATGTAACGTTAGTTTTATTTTATTCTTAACAATCAGATATTTGATTAATATTTTTGTTTTATAGTTTCGAGATTTCGAGATTTTTATTAATTGTGGGAGGAATAATTCTTTTGTTTCGATCAAATTTATCGAAATGCTTGGTTATTTTTATTATTATTATTATTTTTTTTTATTAAGTGAATTTTTCTTTGGTTTTTTATTTTTTTTATTTCTTTTCTTTTTCTATATTTTTATTTATTTTTACTTTTTTATTGTTTTTCATTTGTTTAAGTTAAACAAAAAAACCAAGATTTGACAAAAGAATTTAAAGATTTAAAATAAACGAAACGAAGTTATTAGATTAATAATAATTGAAAATTATTTGTCTATCGATTATAATAGAACCTTCATTATTCGAATTAATAAGGAGATAAATTTTCAAATAAAGAGATAATGGAACATAGATTTTTCTTAGATGAATTATTTTGGGGAAAACAATACGCTTATTTACAACAAAATTAAGATGACAGCATAAGAAAAAAGTATCTATTCTAAAAATTAGGGAATTCCTACTTTTTTAACTGTCAAATTGCACAAATCTTTTAATATATATACGCAAAGAAATGTACATTTCATAAATAAATTTACATTTTTTTTTAATACCAATGATTATGGATTTCCCAAGGTAATTATGTAGGTACTTTTTTTAATTTCATAGTAACTTTTTTTATTTTTTAATTTTCCAAGTATTTTTTTCCCTTTCAATAGTTAATACTAAGTACATATTTATGTTCAATATTATTATTGTACACTGTATAAACTCATCCAATTTCAAATTAAATTAAATTTTGCAAACGCGAATATAGATAGCATACAATTCGGTTAATAGAATGAATATTAGAATATTCGAATAATGAAGGTTCCATTATACTAATTTTACTTTATTCTCAAGAATTAAATTTTAATAATTACTCGAGAAATAATTGTTCCGTTTCCAAACACGATTCTTTTTACCTCTTTTTTTTTATATTCTTTCAAGTAAAAAAATTCAATACAAAATCTAATACAACAGTATTTCTAAAATTAATTAAAATTCAAGGTCTAAAAATTAATAATAATCTAGAATTATTATTTATCCCATTAATTATTATTTTTGTTTCATCTCTCAAAATTAATTTGAATAATTACTTTTAAAAAAAATATTTCCTTCTTATACAAAACACCCAAGATTGTTCTCACTTTTTTC